GGACGCTATCCTTGTTTTAGATATGAGGAAATGGGGTGAGTGGGTCCCCCATTAACAGCACTACAGGCAGAACCTAAACCCAGGCAGCCTGACTGGAGCCCAGCCCCTCATCACCATGCCACGGCACCTCTCCAGAGTACAGCAGGGCAAGGCCCTCCTGCCTGGGTCACCTGAGCTGAGGGAGTGGCGGGGGTGGGAGCTGCTCACACATGCACAGAGCCAGATTCTGTCTGGCAGGTACATGGAGGACAGAAAAGTAGAGGTGGGGGGCACAGCAAGGAGCAGGAAGCAGAGAGAGAAGAGGGAATAGCTTCTGGCCTGGATAGGCCAGGGCCAAAGTCATGGCACACCACCAGAGGACCCAGGACTGCCCTGGCTCTGGGGAGGTGACGTGATGGAAGGTGCCACCAGAGGGTGTCCAGGCAGGCAGGGTGCCAAAGGAAGAGCCCAAGGCTAGCTGGGAGCAGGCCCCCCAGCACCTTATCTACCTTTCATTCCTCTTTGGTAATGGGGACCCTCCAGGAAGCGTCCCTGAGCCACCCATCCCTCACAGCACCTTCCACAAACTATGTGTATCTGTGTGCGTATGAGAGAGAAAGGGATCACGTGCACACACCCGCCTCACTGAGATCAGGGACTGGGTCTGAAGCCTGCCTCCAGAGCAGGTATTTCAGCAAGTGAGGAGAGAAGTGAGGGTGACAACTGAGACAGAGGTACCAGGCACAGCCCAGATGTTTAGCAAACAGATGATTCAGTTCCCCCAGTATCAGGGGAAGAGGTGCTCCCATGTGACTCCATCCTACAGACCGGGAGACTGAGGCTCCGAGAAGATCAGTGATGTTAGCGTGCAGTTAGGGCAGGGAGCTGGAAATGGGGCAGAGGTCTGTGGGGGACCAGGGCTCTTGGTCATTAGGACCCGCTGCCCTGGGGAGGGCGGGGCGAAGAGAGAGAGTACCAGAGAGCTGAAGCTGCAGGGGTACTGGCCAGCGGAAAGGAGAGGCTCTCCCAGCCCCAGAGGTGCCGTGGGTGGGGAGGGGGACACTGCAACCCTCAGAGGGGAGGGGGCGTGTGCACAGGTTTGGGGGGTGGAAATGAGCCCACAGCAGTGAGAAGGGTGTGCCGAGCCCATCCTGGCAGCTGCAGAAAGAAATGATGCTCTTGGAATTGCACAACAACAGGGTAGTCACAGTGGGCCAGGTCACCCTGCCAGTCACCATGAGGCCCATGCCCACCAGCCTCCTGTCCAGTCACTCCCTCCCCACCATACTCTGGCCTCTGCGGGTTCTGTGCCCCGACCACTCTCCCCCTCGGGGACCTGCACTTACTCTTGCGCACTGCGGAAGCACATCCCATGCCTCCCTCTGCCCTGCTGCCTGGGAAAGCCTATCATAACTTTGTCCCCTGGAGCTCTCCTACTCTCCCTGTCCCCATGCTCCCCCAACTCCATGCCTGGCTCTGGGCCTGGATGGCACATGGCAATGCTCCAAAGTGTTTGACAAACTCAGTTCACCATGAAGTTTAAAGAGCACACTAATAACTCACTCTATCCCTTCCTGGGACTCACAGACACATGTCACATATGCCTCCAAGCCAGAGGAGTCATCTGGGCTAGAATGGGAAAAGGTGAGGACATTACATTCCCTCAATCAACCAACTTCACTAAGAACAACCTGCTCTGTAATACAGAAGCAAAAGGTAGAACAACTGGATTCATTTGTACTTTGTTCTTGAATGAGCAATTCAAGCAGAGGGGCAGTGGGCAGGGGACAGATCGTGAGGCTCGAACAAGCTCTGTCCATAACTGGCTGTGTGACCTTGGGCAAGTGATCACCCTCTCTGGTGACCTCCGGAAGTGAAGACAGGAAGGGGGCAGGGCTGGCAGAGGCTGGAGCCTTTCGGAGGTGGGACACATTCAGGAGATGCTGATTCAGGGGATTGAGCGTTGGCGGCGGCGGGGTAGACTTGGTGTTTGGACAGCTGCAAGTCCTTAACGGGGATTTCCCCCCTTTTCAACAAATCCCCGTAAAACAGCATTTCGTCCAAGTCAGCGCTTTGTGGCAGCCTGGCCTCCTCCCAGGGAGGCCAAGGAGACTGGCTGGAAGCAGGGGATGCTCCTGGGACTTGGAGACCAAGGGGGTGGCAAAAGGGCCTCCGCAGAAAGAAGTGCCTAAAGCAGATCCCTCCCCTGGAAATGGCGAACGGTGACCTTCCCCCGAGTCCCTCTCCCGCCGGCTCTGATCGGGGGTGGGTCAGCAGGGAGGCCCGGCGATGCCACCGGACCGGGAGGCCTGCCCACCCCCAGCCGCTCCTCGGAGGCGTCTGGAGGTGCGCGCGCAGGTTCCCCGGGGACACCGCAGGGTGGCGCGACGTGGCCCCGCAGCGCAGGCGGAGCGAGCAGCGCGCAGACCCCGGGGCGGCCCCGCCCGGCCGGAGCCCCCAGCCCACCGCAGCCGGGCGGCTGCAGCAGGGGCGGCGGGAGCCAAACCACAGGTATGCTCGAGACGCTTCCTGTGGCGGAGACTGTCTGCGGGATCCGGCTGCCCGCGGCCGCCCGCCCGCCCGCCGGTGCCTCCCGTCTCCGCCCGGCCTCCTCGCTACTCTTCCTCTCTACGCTCGCTCTCTCTTTTTTTTTTTTTTAAGTTTTTTTCCATTTTGGGGACTGGGGATTGAACCCAGGAACACCTAGCCACTGAGCCACATCCCCAGCCCTTTTTATATTTTATTTAGAGGCAAGGTCTCGCGCAGTTGCTTAGTTACTGAGGCTGGCTTTGAACTTGCGATCCTCCTAAGTCTCTGCGATGACAGGCGCGCACCACCAGGTCGGGCTTCTCTCCCCGCTTTCTCGCTCTGACTCACCTGCACCACTACCGCCCCCAACACCTGGCCCAGTCTCTGCCATCTCATGAGATGGCAGCATTTGTAAGCAACATCTCTTTCATCCCTTCAAAGACTCAGATGACTTGCCACCAAAGGATAGGAACTTGTGCAACAAACGCCATTTTCTGGCCTTGTCATTCCTGATGAGCCCCAAAGTCTGCTTAGGACTAGGGCGGCACTGTGGGTCTGGGGGCAGAGTAGAGGGAGCGCCCTCCTCACCCACTGCGCCCTCCAGCCTTCCCCAGCCAAGCTTCTGCAAGGAACATCACCGCCCCTCACCCCACGTGCTCCTCAGGGCCCCTCACCAGGGCCACCCTGTCCCGGACCCTGCTCTCCTCCTGCCTTAAGGGCTTTGCCTCCCATTCTTCTCAGCTCCCTTCCTCTGCCCATGTGCAGACCGGGGCCCACCTCCAGGAGCTGGCTGAGCCCTGCCGTCCCTCCCCTGGATGTGTCTCCTGCAGCACTCCCTCTTGCCAGATCCCCAGTCCCCTGGCTGCAGTCCCATCACCAGCCTCCCCTGAGCCTTAGACTCCGCTGTTCACCTGTCAGCCCAGCATGGCTGCCTGCCCTCCACCCACGCTGCTGTCATTTCCTCCTCACTCATTACTTACTTCTCCACCCCAGGTACCCACGCCAAAAATCTGAACATTGCTTCTGACCCTTCCTTTCTTCCAGGGAAGTAAGGAATCTTTCAATGCCTTGGTCCAATTAGAAAAGGGCACCCTTGCTGGGTGTGGTGGCCCACGCCTATAATCCCAGAAGTTTAGGAGGCTGAGGCAGCAGGATGGAGAGTTCAAAGCCAGCCTCAGCAATTTATCGAGGCCCTAAGCCACTCAGTGAGACCCTGTCTCTAAATAAAATACAAAAATGGGTTGGGTACGTGGCTGCTCAGAGGTTCAGCACCCCTGAGTTCAATCCTCAATCCCAGAACCAACCCCCCCAAAAAAGAAAAGGCTACCTTTCCTCTTAGCCAACTCAGCCCCTACTTATTTTTTTTAATATTTATTTTTTAAGATGTAGTTGGACACGATGCCTTTATTTTCTTTTTATGTGGTGCTGAGGATCGAACCCAGGGCCCTGCACGCGGTAGGCAAGCGCTCTACCCCTGAGCCACAACCCCAGCCCCCAGCCCCTACTTATTGTCTTTCTTGAATATTCTCACACAATAACCAACCCACACAACTGTACATGACATCCCTATTCCTTTCTCACCAAAGTACCCAGTCTAATCCTGTGGGCTTTACCTCCTCTTTATTTCTCTCATTTCTGCTCCTTCCCCACACCCTCTGCCCTAATACAGACCAGTCAGTAAAGGCTTCTTAAGTTGCCAGGCTTGTTGGATGTGGGGATGCACACCTGCAATCCCAGTGACTCAGGAGGCTGGGGTGGAAGGATTGCAAGTTAGAAGCCAGCCTTTGCAACTTAGTGAGACTCTGTCTCAAAACAAAAAGTAAAAATAAAAGAGACTGGGGACATGGCTCAGTGGTAGAGCACCCATGGGTTCAACATCCAGCACTCACACACAAAAAAAATTTAAGTTGCTACATTCTCACTTAGATGATTATAAATGTCTCTGACCCAGCCCCACCCCCAGCTTCTCTTTTCAACATGTCCTGCATTGACCTCAACAATGCTTCTCAAACTCCAGCCTGTGTCAGAATCAAGACGATCTGTTAGAACCCAGATTCCTGGGCCCCATCCTGAGTCAGTGGTGGTGGGCGGGGGGGGGGGGGGGGGGGCGGGATCTCCATCTCTAACAATCTCCCAGGTGAAGCTGCTGCTGCCTGTCTGTGACCATCCTTTGACACAGCTCTGCCCATGGTTGTCCCCTGCTCTGGGTTCTCCAGTGACTCCCTAGTGGGGACAGGGTTGACTGTCACCATGTTGTTCTGCAATTCATGTGGCTTTCTCAAGAAGGAGGCCTGTTTTAGACGTACCAGGCTGTGGACCAGAGGAAGGAGCAGGCAGTGAGGGGAGACGGGTGGTGGGCACAGTGTGGCAGGGCCCTGAGGTCGTGGTAGAGGAGCTCTAAGAGCTGAGTGAGGGAAGGGCAGGGGATTGGCAGGATCCAAAGGCCACACGGATGTGTGCTGTGTCCCTTCCTCCATGTTGTGCTGATGAATTCAGATTGTTACCTGTGTGACTCTGGCATCTCGTGTCCCCATATCTGCCCAACCATCTCCACTAAGGACCGCCTATCTCTGTCCTCTCCCACATCCTTTGTCTAGATCTCTGAGTCTCAGTCTCTGTAACTCCTGAGCTGTTGGCTGCTTGCCAACCCCTCTGGATGGCCAGCACTGGTGGGCCCCGCCACTCATGCTCCCCTCGGGTCCACCTGCCCTCCTGGGACAGCGCCTGAGTAGCTGCACATGGTCTGGCAGGGTCTTGGGGGTCTGGCACCCAGGAGCAAAGCCCGTCTGCTGGATCACAGTGAGGCTCTCAACCCCCCCCCCCCCAAATTGAGCTTGTGGCCAAGAACTTGCTCCCAAGGCAAAGGGCTGCCTGGAATCTGGGAGCTGGAGGGTGGAGGGAGGTGGCCAGGCTGGGACGGGGCTGCCTGGGGACCCCCTCATCACCCAGGTTGATGGCAGGACAGAAGATGTGCCCTCTCCCATCTTGTCTGCCCTACCAGGTTTCAGTACCACTCAAGGGCCCAACATCCCTCACCCTGGCAAGTGAGGCGCCCAGACACCAGGGGACCTCAATTTTGGAAGCGAAATTAAAAGAAGGCTGGAAGGAGAGGTCAGAGTCCAGAAGTCCAGAGGGGCAGGTGACGGTGGCACAGCTCTAGCTGAGAACAGAGCGAATGTCTGGAATGGGAGGACTGTGGGGCTCCTGGCAGGAGGCATCCAAGAGCAGCAAACCTGTGGGTCTGTGGGAGAGCCGCCGCAGCTGTTGCTGCGGATAAGAGTACTGGTTCATGGCGGAGTGGGGGGCGTGGAGGAGGCCATGCCCTCCCCCCTGGGGGACACCCACATTTAGGGAGTGAGAGGAGCCCCGGGTTCCACCCCCAGAATCCAGGCACCCAGACTTCCCACTGCTCCCTAACCTCCACCACCTGCGTGGTCCTCTCTGCCCTTCCTTCCTGTTCTTCTCCTCCAAGGCGACACTGCCACATTTGAGACCCAGTGCAAATGCCTCCTCCTCCAAGCAGCCTTCCCAGCCTCTGTCCCCGGAGCACCGTCCCCTCCTCCCTGCAGCCACCCTGCCTTGCCGGGCCAAGGCTGGCACTCCACCGGTGCTCAGGTCTGCAGCTGGCACTCCGGGGCTGACCATCCCAGCCCACTTCAGCCCAGCCCCCGGGGCGACTTAGGGGAGCCCCTGTCTCTTTGTGGCTCTTCCCAAGTCCTGCATCCTTCTCAGCTCTGAGCCAGCCAGGGCTGGGAAGGAACTTCCCTCCCTGCAGGTGGCCACCTTCGCTTCTGCTCATCTCTGAGTCTAGACGCCCCACCAGGGAGACAAAGCATTCCAGGAGGTGAGGACAGCCAGACGGGGCAGAGGAGCGAGAAGAGGCCAGGAGTGGGCAGGTCCAGGACAACCAGGGATCCTCAGGCCAGCAGCCAGGACAGCTGGCTCTTCCCCACCAAGGGGCCTGGCCTCCGTGGTGCCATCGCTAGCCTTCCAGCAAAGGCCGGCTGTGAGCCTCTGACCAGGACCGACAGGCTGCAGCCCGGCCCAGCCCCAGGCCTGCAGGCGGGCCCCTCACTGCCCCTCGCCCTCGCCTTCTGGTTCGCATTTGCAGCCTTTTCCGGAGCACCACCCGCGCCTGCTGCGCCCCAGCCTGCCAAGATTCCTGGGCCTCCACGGCTTCCCCGCATGGTGGCGGCAGGCGGCAGCAGGAGGGGCCAGGCTGGGCAGGGAGGGCGTCCGTCCGGCGGGAGTGTGGCCAGGCCACTGCACCCAGACCCGGCCAAACAAACAGGGCTGCGCCAGGGAGCAGGGAGAAATAGTTCATAAATGAGAAAAAGCTGCTTCCGAGTTGGGCCGGAGTTTTAAAGAACAGGCTGCAGGGAGCTGAGGTCACCTGCAAGAGGGCCCACCACAAGGATACCCTGGGCCTGGGAGGAGCTTCTGCTGCAGCAGGAGAGAGAGAGGTTAGACAGCAAGAAGCACAGGCCTCATCCAGCCTGGGATATCAGAAAATCCCACCCCCCCAAATCTAACTTACCTTTCAGGTTGGAGGGGCCTGGTAAGGTCCCAGCAGAGGCAAGGCCTGAGGATGAAGGAAAGCAGCAGTGAGAAGACACCAAGAAGCCAGGCAAAGTGGTTCACACCTGTGATTCCAGCAACTCGGGAGGCTGAGGCAGGAGGATCACAAGTTTAAGGCCAGCCTTGGCAATTTAGTGAGACCTTGTCTGAAAACAAAAACTAAAAAGTGCTGGGGTTATAGCTCAGTGGTAGAGAACCCCTGGCTGCATCCCCAGGATCAAAAAACAAACCAACGAACAAATGGAAGCCCAGGAAGCCTCTGGCCCCGACCACAGCCACCCCAGCCTGCTGCCTGCTTTCCTGAAGTCCGCTGGAAACAGCCCCAACCTCACCTGCCTCCTCAACGCGCCCCCAGAAGCGCCTCCCCCACCAGTTCTTCATTCCCTCCAAGCGCACTCGGCAGCGTATGCCTGCCCTGGGGGGATGACCACGTTCTGTCCGGAGGCCCAGGCTGAGGACACCTCTTCTGTGTGCCAGGGCCCACACTGCTGAAGGCCCTCCTCTGTGTCGAACCTGGTTTTGGACAGTCTCTACTCTGGGGGACAATCCTTGCTAGGACAGCTCCTTCTAGATGGGGACCAGGGCTGCATGTCTCTGCCCTATGCCCTGACCTACCGTGGAGGAGCTGAGGACTCAGAAACTCAGAGCAAGGAGCACTCCCTCCTCCAGGAGCTCCCCTGAAGACTGCACGGAGGAGGGGGATCCTGAAGGAAGCTACCTGGCAGATAGAGGAAAGCCAGAGTGCTGTGGGGTCAGGGAGGACAAACAGGAACTGACGTTGGGACAGGACAGGAAGGACCCTGAGTGCACGCTTGCTCGTCTCCAGAAATCACTGGGGAGCCATGGAAGGTTGCTGAGCAGGGAGGTGATGGGGTTAGAACCCTGGATGGCCAGGTCCGCATTCCTGCCTCCACCAAGCATGGTGCTGGGCTCGGTCAACAGCCCCAGTCCAGGTCACACTGTGTACAGAGAAGCTGGGGCTGGAATCCAGACCCAGACATGACTCCTGGGTGGCTGGGGAGGGGATGCCCAGCCAGCCCACCTGGCAGGGAGGCCTACGGATGCGTCACTCTCTCCCCCAGCTGCCTGCTTGCCTCTGCCCGCTCCCATGGAAACTCTGACACCCGCCCGCCCTCCGCCCTCCGCTAGCTGCACAGGCAGCCAGACGCCAAACCAGCAGCTCCTCGGCCCTCTCTCCACCTCGGCGGACCCTGCCACCATCCCTGCTCTAATGCCATACCTGAGGTGCTCAGGAGGCCATTTTCTGAGCCTGGTCTAGGGATGAGGCTAGGCAGGGGGTCCTTACACTCGGTCTCCCCCCAGCCCCTCCCCAAACCTGCAGCCCGGGAAAGTGACCAAGGTGAACTCAACCGGCTGGAGGTGGGGAGAGGTAATGGCACCCATTGCCCAGGCTGAGGGAACGGAATGGCATGGGATGCAGAGTGAGAAGTCCCTGCACATTTTGAGGTGGTGGAGAGATGAAAACAATTTGGTCAGCAAGGGAACCAGCTCCCCAACACCAGCACTCGCTCCCCACACCGTGCGCTAACACCCTTCTGGGTATTCTCCTGGATCCTTTCATTTAATCCTCACAATTACCCAGTGACACCGATATTTTGTCTTCCCTTTTTACAGATAGGAAAACTAAGGGTCAGAGAGGTTATGAAACTGGCCCAGGGTCACACAGATCATGAGGGGAAGAACCTAAATTTAACCCTGGCTCTTGGCTACAAATCCTGCAATCTTAACCACCAGCTGACTGTACAGATGATGAGCGTGAGGAGGGCTGCCTGGTTCAGGCAGAAATGCCCTGAATATCAGGGGCAGCGACCTGGGCCCATCCTAAAGCCGGCTCCCCTTCTCTATCCATTTTTAATAATAATGACGGCCTCTAATGGTCTTAATGGTAATGGTCTCTAAACCACACTGTAGCACCAGACACACCAGGCATTGCTCTATCCAACCCCCTATAGCCCTGAAAGGCTGAACTGCTGTCCTATTATACTGAGGAGGAGCACTGAGGCCCAGAGAGGTGACAGGACAAGGAAATGAAGTCGGGAGGATCTGCCCAGACCCAAGGCAGCCAAGCCCTGCAGTTGGGCTTCCTGAAGACCTGGGCCTGTTCCCCACTTCCGCTCTTGCCACACACCTCCCCCGCCTGCTGCCTCAATCCAGATGGCACCAGGGGCAAGCAAGGCTGGGCACAGAGTTCTACAAAGGGGCTGCCTGGGCCTTCTTCAATGGGACTCTGTTCTTCACCTCCAGCCCCAACCTTCTCTAATCCCCTTCTTGAGTCCCTCCCTGGCGACATCTCCCCTTTGCACAGGGCCTGCCGCTGCCTTCTAAATCCCAGGCCAGAGGTAGGTGAGACAGCCTGCACTCCCACTCCCAGTGGCCTCAGAGAGCTGCAGGACTCCCAAGGAGGCTGGCCAGGGTCTCAGCCCACTTCCCACTTCAACTCTCCAAACCAAGCTGCTGGGGGCTATGAGTGAACAGCTGGCTCCTCCCAGACAGGGGGGTGGGGTGGGGGCAAAGAGTCCATTTCTGAGCCCCCACAATGGCAGATTCTGGGCCAAGAGTCTTATTTTTTGAGGGGGTGCGTACCAGGGATTGAACTCAGGGGCACTCAACCCCTGAGCCACATCCCCAGCCCTATTTTGTATTTTATTTGGAGACAGGGTCTCACTGAGTTGCTTAGTGCCTTGTTTCTGCTGAGGGTGGCTTTGAATTTACAATCCTCCTGCCTCTGCCTACCAAGCTGCTGGGATTACAGGCGTGCACCACCACGCCCTAAGAGTCTTCTTTTTTAAATCAGGAGTTAAGAGAACCACTCTGGAGCCCAGCTGTGTGTGTTCTTATCCCAGTCATCTACCTGTGCCTCAGCTTCTTCATCAATGAAATGGGAACAAACTAGACATGGTGGCACATGTCTGTAATCCCAGCAGCTCAGGAGGCTGAGGCAAGAAGATCACAAGTTCAAAGCCAGCCTCAGCAACTTAGCAAGGCCCTAAGCAACTTAGTGAGACCCTGTATCAAAATAAAAAAATAAAATGGGCTGGGGGTGTGGCTCAGTGGTTAAGTGCCCCTGGGTTCAATCCCTGATACCAAAAAAAAAAAAAAAAAGGAACATTTCCTACTTCACAGAGCATTTCTTTTTTGTTTTTGTTTTTTTATTTTTTGTTGCTGGGTATCAAACCCAGAGCCTTGTGCATGCAAGGCAAGCACTCTACCAACTGAGCTGTATCCCCAACCCTCGCAGAGCATTTGTGAGGCTTAAACAAGTTGTGCACATTGGACCTGGAGCAGAGCTTGGCGTATAGGATTATTCAATAAATGCTCACCTTACTATTATACATATCATCACCATGACACCTCCCAGCAGCCCTGTGAGGTATTTTATTAAAAGCCTCATTTTATAGATAAGAAACTGAGGCTTAAAGAAGTCATTTGCCCAAGTTCACCAGTTAGCCAGAGAGGACATCGGGAGCTTGGTCCCAACTGAGTGCGTCCCCAGAGATGCTGAGGACAGCCCCCTAGCTCCTCAGAAGAGACACGGTGTTCCTGGGGGCCCTGCATCCCCCACCCACCTCCTGACTGACTTCAGGGGCTCCCCCGCCCCCAGCCCCTGCAGCCTCTGCAGGAGGGGCTCCGCATTCCTGGCTAAGCGGCCGGATTTGCTGTGCTCCGGGAACTATGAAAAGAATGTTCGCCACGAGCTGAGCCGTGGTCGCCTGTCAGGGAGCGTGGCCCGAGGGCCCACGCAGAGCTCTATGGCAGCCAGCACAGTGGGAGAGGAGGAGGCTAAACTGGAGGGAGAACTTCCGGGTTGTGAGGGCTGCAGACATTGGATGGGGGTGGAGGCCAAAGGGTCGGCCTCTGGGATCTTCCAGGAGAGGAAAGAGGACCCCTGTGCCCTCAACCCAGGTGTTCCTCACAGCGGCTGCAGCCAACGCCAGGCCGGCTTTACTGGCCCATCTCATGGATGGGAGCAGGACAGGGAAAAGATCATTTGAGGTCACACAGCAGCCAGTGGCAGGACTGAGACAGAGGCAGGGCCCTGGGCTCAGGCCACCTTCCTCACAGAGGCTGCCCGCTGGGTACGTCTGAGGTTCTTAGACTCTAGAAAGTACCATCTTAGCCCTCCTGTTCTAGGTTCTCCTTGGGCCCGACTTTTCTTTGCGGGTACTCCCACGCTGTCCACCCACCCAAAGAAACACTTTGTGCTACAAAAATACCTGGCACACTGTCCTTTCCCCACCGACAAGCACCGGGAGAGCGAAGCAGCCCAGGAGGTCAGTGGAGAGAACAAGAGCCATGTTCTCCAGAGGTCTGGGAGGGAATCCTGGACCAGCACTCAGCAAACAGGCCGCTCACCCACCACGCTGAGCTCCACTTACCCCTCTGTTAAATGGGCCACCAATCCCCACCTTGCAGCACAAGGATTAAGTGAGACATCTGAGCATAGAGCCTGGTATAGGGTAAGTACCCAATAAACTCCTATTGTTCCCACTCCTCAAGGGGACAGAAAGAGGTATTAGAGTGACAAGTGACAAGGTTTTCAGCACCTCAGGTCCTTTGATGTGCCCTGTGAGGAAGGGCAGCCTTTGTGAGGACCCTGCATCCAGGGTCCTAGTCTCGGTCTCAGTTCTGTCACTGGCCGCTCAGTGACCTCAGGTGATCTTTCCCTGGAGTTTCCTAATCTCTTCTTTGCGATGGGCCAGTAATGTTGGCCTGACCCTTCTCATGGGGTACTAGCCCTCCCGTGTGGGCCCCTCTGTCCTCCAAGAGCAGGAAACCCACCCATCCTGGTTGCATGGGACAGCTACCCTTCCGTTCAAAACTTTCCAAGAATTTGAATGGAGGGAGGGCCAAATCCTCCCTAGTCTGTTTCCAGGGCCCAGAAAGGTGGAAGGTACACTGCTCAGAAATGTGGGTGAAAGTTCTAGAGGCTGCCCTCCATCACCAGTGTGACCTGGGACTACCCCTCACCTTTCCACATGCAAAATGATCCTGGTATTCCCATTGTGTAGATGGGAAACTGAGGCACAGAGATGGAAAGTGACAGGTCTGTCCCACTCCCAGGACGAGCACTTCTCCACACTGCGCACACCACTTTCACTTGAGAGCTTCTGTCTACACCCCACACACCCTGGATATGTGCACGGAGCAGAGTGGATCTGGAATTCTCTTCCTGGGAGTGTGATTTCCATGGCTGGTCTGGGCACATAGGTGCCCACTCTGATCTTATATACCACCCAGGCTTCTCCACACACTCAAGAACTCCCAGGACCCACGCCTGAACTCAAGATCACCCAGCCCCCAGTCATTCCAGTTTCAGATCCCAGAGGCTAAACCCTCATGTCTCCTGTACCTCCTTCCCCTGGGGATAGATCACAACCACCCTGAGCAAGGTTCGTGACTGACCTACTCCTCGTCCCAGTCAACTAGTTGCTCCCCTCAATCCTCTCCATCTTTTTCTTCTCATCCCCATGGCAACCACCTACTTAAACCCCTTTTACCTTCCTCCTCAAACCCTGTCTCCCTGACTCTGAGATTCCCCCAGAGCAGCCACAGTGACCTCCGGACTGTATCACTCCACAGCACACACCCTGTTCCTGGACAAGGCCCTTGGAAGTCTGCCCTCAAGTAGATGGATTCCCTCGCACTCCCCACTGTGTGATCCGGCAGTCCCCATCACTCACTGTCCCTGAGTCCGCTCAGCGGGGAAGACCTCCCACGCACCCCTCAACCCCAGGCACCTATGAAAATTCTCATTGTCCTTGAAAGCCTTCCAGAGAGTCCTCTTGGATTCAACTCCCCACACCCCTGCAGTTTGGGATGCATGGTGCCTTCCTCTGGTGCCTTGAGACCACAGTGGCACCCCACATGAGAGGCCATTGGCCTCTCTGTTCTTCTACCCCACTCTATATCCTTGCAGCATGGATGGGACCACCTCATCTGAGGCCCCACTTCCCTACAAAGGGGTCCAAGCCTGCCACTGAGGTTCTGGACTGAGCTGGGGGGCCTGAAGGATAGGGAATCTAGGCTCAGCCATCCTTTGGCTTGGCTCAGGTCCAGGGCAAGGGAAGTAGTGGGGCTCAGGGGCTCAGGCTGCCGGCCCTGTTTGGAATCTTTGCCCTCCCTGTTGCTACTGGACACATGCACCTCTACTCTTCCCTTCCCCTTCCTCTGAGCCAGAGTGAAAACACTCATGTTCACTGCAGTAGACAAAGTGAAATCAGAGAGAGACCCTGGTGAGCGAGTGGGTGTGAGCATGTATGTGCGAGCTGCACTGTCTGAGAACGTCTGGCTGGGCCATGTGGGGCCTGATGTGTCTGTAGGAGTCTGGGCGTGTGTGTGTGTGTGTGCGTGCGTGCGTGTGTGTGTGTACACGCGCACAGGCCACTGTTTTAGCATTTGTGGTGGTGTGTATTTCAATAGAGTGTGCTCGCGCGTGTCTAATGAATATTTGATTCAGTGTGTGATTATTGTGTGTGACTCTCTGTGGGAGGGAGTGTAGCTGTCCTTTTGGAGTGATTGTGTCTCTCAGTGTTTACCAGCCTGGTGGGAGGCCAGCAGGGGCATCTATGCCCTGACAGATTGCCAGT